AAATAGTTTAAGTTGTAGTAGTCGACTATAGTATTTTGTAAAAAAAAAATGGCATAAAATGTCATAGTAGTATGCCATGAAAATATGTCAAAATCTAAGTATGGTATGACAAACAATCATATAGTGTCATAGTGTTTCATGAAAATATAAAAATTTTATAGTATGCCATAGAAACCTAGTGACGTAGTTATAACGGTATAAGGTAAAAAAGTTACTCAAGTGTCATAATGTAGGAGCGTGGAAACAAACAATGAGGCGAGTATTCCCTTTGGCTGCACCATGTGGCCGTTTATTTCCATCCATACACACGACACACATTCACTTCCTGCCACCCTTTAACCCCCCGTCACCAGGGTTACGCCCCTTTCCTTAAAGGGGCCCCGTGAATTCGGTCTTTCCTATCCCCGACATGCGCCCCCCCAGAATTCACCAACTCCAGAGGTTAGTCCCAAAACTATTAATGTCTTGGGGCCCGAATCAACCGACCAGCCCGACTCCGTGTCTCTGGGGTGGGAGGCAGGACCACCGTTGAAGGAACCCTCCGGGTCCTGTCGTGTCGTGGTGGGAGGGCCCGAGGCCGCCCCCGCCGTGGGGGCTCAGCCAACCTTACCGTTTGGTCCAGGTCCAGATGTGCTGGTTTAAGGCGGTCTACCGACACGTATTCCAGCCTGCCGCCCATGTCGACCTTGCAGGTTTTGTCTCCGGTCTCCAGCACCCAAAACGGCCCGACGTAGGGGAGTTGAAAGGGTCCACGGTGGCCGTCCTGGCGAACGAAAACATACTCCGCTGACCTGAGGCTGGACGGAACGTATGACTGTGGAAGGCCGTGCTGCGACGTGGGCACCGGTTTGAACAGCCTGGCTTTTTCTAGGAGCGTTTCCCGCTGCTGGGTAGCAGACCAAGGGTCTGTGACTTTGGGGATAAACTCCCCCGGGACCCGCAGTGGCTGTCCATAAACCAGCTCAGCCGATGAAGCCTGCAGATCGTCTTTGGGGGCTGTCCTAAGCCCCAACATGACCCAGGGAAGTCTGTCCACCCAATTGCTGTCTTTGAGGCTGGCCCGGAGAGCAGCTTTCGTCGACCGGTGGAATCGCTCGCATAACCCATTAGCCTGCGGGTGGTAGGCGGTAGTGCGATGGAGCTTCACCCCTAGGCTTCCTGCAACTGCATCCCACAGCTCTGAGTAAACTGCGGGCCTCAGTCTGAGGAAACGTCAGCTGGGGCTCCGAACCTGGCACCCAAGCCTGAATAAACGCCCGAGCCACCTCATCCGCTGTTGTTGATGACAATGGGACAGCTTCTGGCCAACGAGTGGTTCGGTCTTGTGAGGAGATGTCTGAAACCACGGGATGGGGGCAAAGGTCATACCAAGTCCACATTCACATGATCGAACCTCCTTTCTGGAACCGAGAGCTTTGCTAAAGGGGTCTTTATGTGACGGTGCACCTTGGAGCGCTGGCACACGACACAAGTCCCGGCCTACCTCCGTATATCCTTTTTCAGCCCATGCCAGACGAACTTAGCTGCCACCAACTTCTGAAACGCCCTCTTGCCAGGGTGTGACAGTCCATGAATAGCATTGAAAACCTGTTGTCTCCATTCGTCGGGAACAACCGGCCGTGGCTGGCCTGTGGAGACGTCACACAGGAGCGTATCGCCAGTTTGGACCTCCTCCAACCGCAGTCCCGTAACTGAAGTCCTCAACTCCTGGACGCCCGGGTCTGAAACCTGATCCCAGCCATCTTGTTATAGTCCAATCCTAACTGGACAGCCCCGGTGACAGCCCTGGAGAGACAGTCTGCGACCAGGTTTTCCTTGCCCGCTACATGCTGTAGATCCGTGGTAAACTCTGATATGAAGGAGAGCTGGCGCTGCTGGCGTGCTGACCATGGTTCGGCGCCCTTACTCATGGCAAACGTCAGTGGCTTGTGATCCACAAACGCCGTGAACAGTCGAGCCTCCAGCAAGGACCGAAAATGCCAAATGGCCAGAAAGAGGCCGAGGAGCTCCCGATCGAAAGTGCTGTACTTCCGCTCATTAGGCCGCAACTGTCGACTGAAGAAAGCAAGCGGTTGCCACGCCCCTTTCACCCACTGCTCGTGCACCGCGCCCACTGCGTAGTCCGAAGCGTCCGTGGTGATGGCAATTTGAGCCTTAGGTGACGGGTGTGCCAGTATTGTCGCGTTTGCCAGAGCTTTTTTAGCGTCAACAAAGGCAAGTTCCCTCTCTTCGGTCCAGTCCACAGCCTGTTTGATGGCCTTGCCGTTCAGGGCTTCGTACAGGGGCCGCATCACTTGCGCTGCTCGAGGAATAAAGCGATGGTAAAAGTTCACCATGCCTAAAAACTCCTGCAGGGCCGTCACTGTGAGTGGGCGTGTAAAGTTAGCCACTGCCTCCACCTTTGACGGAAGGGGAACCGCCCCATCCTTTGTGATGCGGTGTCCCAGAAAGTCAATGGTGGTCAACCCAAACTGGCACTTAGCCGGGTTGATGATCAACTCGTGCTGGCTGAGTCGCTCAAACAGAGTCCGGAGGTGAGACATATGCTCCGCCCTTGACGAACTGGCCACCAGGATGTCATCCAGGTAGACGAACAGGAATGGCAGGTCCCTCAGCACCGTGTCCATTAGACGCTGGAATGTCTGCGCTGCATTTTTTTAGGCCAAACGGCATCCTCAAGAACTCAAACAGGCCGAATGGAGTGATCAGCGCAGTCTTGGGAATGTCCAGCGGGTGAACGGGCACTTGATGGTAACCTTGTACCAGGTCCACTTTCGAAAACACCATGCTATCCGACAAGTGGGCAGAAAAGTCTTGAATATGTGGAACCGGATAGCGGTCCGGGATCGTTGCATCGTTGAGCCGGCAATAATCTCCACACGGGCGCCACCCGCCCCCAGGCTTCGGGACCATGTGCAGGGGTGAAGCCCACGGACTGTAGGAGCGGCGAATGATGCCGCTGCAAGCATGCTAGTCAACCTGGTAGAGCCCGCTCCACTTAGTGTACATGGGTAAGAACAAAAAGTCAGTGTTTATCAGGCGGTGGCCCTTGACGTCCACCAATAGTCCATATGCGCATAGGAAATCCGCGCCAAGCAGGGATTTGTTACTGCCAAAATGGCAATTTTGGCAGTAACAAAGTCCCAGCTGAAACGCTGCCCCATAAAACACAGCTCCAGTCACCGTGTCCCAAAAGTGCGTATGGGGGTACCGTTCACGGCTTCCAGGGGGGGGGCCCTGCCCGTTTGTCAGCATGTCCACCCGCGATGCAGGCACAACGCTCCTCTGCGCCCCCGTGTCACAGAGAAAGCGCCGCCCGGAAACGTCGTCCCGGATGAACAGCAGCCTGCCTTCCCAACCGATGCTCATGGCAGTCACTGAGCGCCGGCCCTGGCATTTCCCGTCGCGCCGAAACTGCATGGTGAATGGCACCTTGTAGCCCGCGGCCCAAACCTTGCGTGGTAATAGCACAGGCCGGTAGCTCCCCGCCGTTGGCTCGCTGCTGCTGCTGCGGCGACGACTGTTGTCTCCCCCGGCCACGTCGTGGCTTGGGTCGGCCTCAACGCGGCTGTGTAGCTTTGTTGGCCAGACAGAAAGAAGTTATCGGCCTCTTCGGCCAACTCCCGACAATAGGTAATCGTGGTGTTGGCACCTGCAGCGGGAGCTGCTGCAGAAAAAGTTCCGTAAACAGAAACTCCGGCTCGTGTTTTCCTAGCAGAGCTAACATTTTGTCCATTAGCTCCGACGGCTTGCTGTCGCCGAGGCCGTTCAGAGAAAGCAACCGGCGAGCCCGCTCAGAGTCCGAAAGCCCGAAAATGTTCAACAGCCGGCCTTTCAAGGAATCGTACTTGTCCCTCTCTGGAGGATTTTCAAGGATGCTTACCACTCTGCCTGCTGTCGAACTGCCGAGAGCCGCCACGACATAATAATATCTTGTCGCTTCCGCTGTAATGTCTCTGAGGGCGAACTGTGCCTCAGTTTGAGCAAACCACACCGCTGCTTGCGTCTCCCAAAACTCCGGTAGTTTGAGCGAAACTGCGTGCGTCATCATCTTCTCTTCTGGAAACGTCCAAGAGAGTCAGGGTCATCAATGTAGGAGCGTGGAAACAAACAATGAGGCGAGTATTCCCTTTGGCTGCACCATGTGGCCGTTTATTTCCATCCATACACACATGACACACATTCACTTCCTGCCACCCTTTAAACCCCCCTGTCACCAGGGTTACGCCCCTTTCCTTAAAGGGGCCCGTGAATTCGGTCTTTCCTATCCCCTACAATAGTGTAAAATATATCATTAAAAGATTCATAAAATGGTATGTCACTAAAAACGTCATAGTAAAGTGTGTAATAATAAATAATATAGTATGCTATAAAATGTATATAGTAAAGTATGTCATGAAAAATGTCACAGTAAATTATGCCATAGAAATGTCATAAATATAATATAGTATGTTATAAAAATTTCATTGTGTAGTTTTATAAACATGTTATAGTAAAAAATATCATTACAAATCTCATAGAACATGCAATAAAAATGTTTATATAGTATTAATTATATAGTATGTCATTAAAAAAATGTCACAGTATAGTATGTTATAGAAACAGAAAAAATATCATAAAAAAATAAAATACCATAATAATGTTGTAAAAATGTCATAGTATGCTATGCCATGAAAAAGGTGTATATGTAGTATATCATAACAAAATTGTTTATAGCATGCAATAAAAAGGATGTCAAGAATTAATTTAAAGAATCATAAAAAGTCAGCATAGTATGCATTCAAATTGTTAAAAATAATCATATATGTCATAAAATTGTATGTAATATTACATGAAAATGTAGGATATCAAAAAAAGTAATCGTATAGTACGTCATAAATAGTAAAAATATATATATATCAAAGCTTATTATGTCATGAAATTGCAAAATGCCATAGTATAATAAGGCATTTAAAGAGCGGAGAATGTCGGCTCGGGACACCCTCAAACACCAGCAGACAAACACCGCCATCTTGTGGTTGCACCAGTGTAGTGCAGTTTAAGCGAAACAATGGCAGCGCAGCACGGAAGGAAATTAACACGGTCCTTTTAAACTGGACAAGTTAAACAAGCGGCAAAAGGGAACTGGTAAGTGGTCACTGGTTGAAGAGTTTTAACGTTTTCACTCTGCTTTGTATGTTTCTCTGCAACGACCGCCCACAGGGAGAACGTTACTCCGCTGTTTTACGACCGAGATGTGTCAAAGATGAACTCGTTTGTGTTCAAACGTCAGGAAGGATAGGCTACTGTGCGTAGCAGCGATACCGAATATCACGACTAATAGTATTCTGGTTTGCATAAACGGAAACATTTTGGCCTCTGAGGGTGCAGTTTTGCATTCTGGCGCAGTCTGTTTTGATGCCGCGACTGCGAACAAAATGGAGTATAAAGTCGTTGTTAAGTTGTCTGTTGTTTGGTGTGGACCCGCGCAGGGATCAGACTGCGTGTGATTAGGAACTATTTTTGGCGATAAAGCGGTAGGTATAACGATAAGCCTTACGTCAGTCCCAAAATGTAACGTTAACGTCATTGTTTAGGCTGTGTGCACAATGAAAGCAGGCTGTTCTGTTATGTGAAACGCCCCCCACCTGCCGCCACTAGTAAAAACATGTAACGTTCTGCAGAATATCCGACGGAGGGCCAGGTAACACAACATGACCGACTCTGGAGATGCAGCATGTGTTCCCGGCAGCGGCACCGGGCTGAGTTTCACAGCGGGCCGAGGACTCCCAGGCCGGGTCAGGAGTCTCTCCTCTCCCGCTCAACCTGGAAGACTGACGTCGCTCAGAACCAGGGACCTAACACTAGGGGGAGTCTTCAAAAAAACGAAGGTATTGAACGTCACACCAAAGGGATGAAACAGGAGAGGCATTTCCGTGTGTTCTGTTACAGCATTGGTAGCCTGGACTTCACGTGACACACATCTTCTACCTCCTCATGCTGACACTTTAGGACCATGCAATGCATACCCCCAGAACACATACGTGATGTAATGATTATATTAAAGCACACAATCCAATACAAGGCCTTTACATACAAGGAATAAAACAAGGAATTCAATTCAATCAATTAAGATGAAAATAAAGTTTAATTTGATTGTGTTTATGTAATAGTGCCTACAGTTTTAAAGAGTCTATTAGACCCCCAGCAGACTGATCCACTGTTCAAGGCAGTTAAAGCCATCTTTTTTACTCTGACAAAGATATAGAAATGTTGAAACGTTCTCTGTTTGCACAACTAAAGGCTCCAAATCAATCCGTGTTCTGCTGGAAGATGCTGCACAGAGAACCCTGTTTCAAGGCCATAACAGTTCAGTTCTGTCATACTGGAAAAAAGGAGAATGTGACGCTGTTTACAGCATGATGGAACACATTTCCTCCTTTCAAAAGGAGGTCAGGGGTCAACTTCAGTTAGAAACTCATCTGATTTAGTAGCTGCTTTAATGCAGGTGTTCATAGGAGGGTCACAATTAGAAAAGGTAAGTCACAGTCCTGTAATATTGAAACAGATTGAATCTGGCAGCTAGAAAAGGATTTATAACATGTTAAATGCACCATGTATTTGCATCACCTTTGTTTTGAATCCCATTTAAGAAATATGTGGTATTAACAATATTTAATATTTCTTCTCTGTTCTATTTTTTCCCCCAAAGAAAACCTTTGAGCCAAACGTCCACGCTGTGAGGAAAAGCAAAGATGAGTGCGTGTCCATCAGTGAGATCATTCCAGTCCTCTGTTTAGCCATGAAAGTTTGAAGCATTGCACATTTCCTGCAGTAGGTACCTAGTGTGTGACGATTATAAACATTGTGTCCGATTCTTCCCAAGGTTAAAGGAGGAGATCCACTCGGCTCCAAAAAAGGAGAGAAGACAGAGGGAGGAGAGGAGGAGAGAGAACAGAGGGAGGAGGAGAGAGAGGCCTCAGACGATCCAGTCTCACTCCATCTTTGAGCAGGGCCCTGCCGACACCGTACGCAAAACAGGTGCACAGCTTCTGCTGCTTCTTTCTTTTCCTTTTCTAATATCCTTTGAGCATGCACACCAGAGGTCCGTCACAGAAGCATTACAGGTGCACTTCCTCCCGTGTCTCTGTTCAGGCTGGCGTGGTGCTACAGACCTGCAGGACTCCACCACCTCCCCCGTGTGCAAACTTGTGAAGAAAGAGAGGAAGGACTCGGAGGAGGAGGATGATGAGATACTCAATAAACTACAGAGGGATGATGTGAGTACGTCCTGCTAGCTGCTAGATCTTAAAGTATAAATTCACAACTTTTCAAGTCTGTCTTAAAATACTAGTCCAGTGAACATTGTTCTTGCCCTAACCCTCTGAGGTTTGTTTGAGGCTTCAGCAGTCTGAGTTTCTCAAATCAAGTAGGAATCTTCCACAGTCTGTACAGAATATGCTCTTTGTGTTACGACTCATTTTCCTATAGATACGTAAAGCTTCAAAAGAAGAGGATCAATGAGCAAGAAAAAAAGACACGAATCAATGATCAGTCCACTGTAGGAAAGAGCTGACCAATCAGATGCGACTATATCAGTTCTTAATCAGGGACACCCCTGCTGGATATACATATACATATCTGATATACTGACTTGTCTGATATACTGACTTGTCTGATATGCTGACTTGTCTGATATGCTGACTTGTCTGATATGCTGACTTGTCTGATATACTGACAGAACGAACTTAAAAAAGTGTGAACCTGTCCTTTAAAGCTGCATTTATTTTCTTGGCCACTTGGGGGCAGCACAACAAGCTGAAAACACAACATGTTACCTGTTGTTTATTTATTCATGCAGCAGACACAGAGCAACATTAGCATTTATTGTGTTCACCTGATGATTGTGAGCCCAGTATTCTCTCCTTGTAGCTGTGGTTTGTTTTCCACCGACTCCTGAGAAGAATATCTGTCTCTGAGTGACCCCTTTCACATTAGAGGTCATCATTTGATCCATTGTTAATATCAGAATATTGACTTTAACATCATGTCATGCACTAAAGCAGGGATCCCAGACTACCTGTCTCCTCAGTATTTTATTCCAAAGTAATTGTTTCTTATTTCACATTAATAACATGGACATGAACCTTCAGGAGTTGCACCTGCAACTGACACGATAAAGTCTTTTCCTCAACCTGGAGGACAGAGGAGAAGTTGACGGTTGTTTTTTATGGAGTTCAATCCGGCTGTTTCCTGTCTCATGTGTTTGCCAGGAATACAGTCTCAGCTCAACGTTTAGCTGCACACCATTAGTTTGTAATGACAGACCCTAACGTTTCATCATCCACCATAATAACTAATGTTATATGTTGCACCCACAGTTCATAGATGACCCGGGTCTGAGGAACGATGTCAGGCTGAAGCCCATCCAGCTGCCTCTGTGTCACACACTGACCGCCAGCACAGCATGTGAGAACACCACCTCAGTCTACTGCCTCACCTCTCACGCTGTCACACTGCCTGTCAACAGGGAGCTCATTTCACTCAGGACGGACACTCGTGTCAACGTTTCTAACCATTTGTGCTGAAGTGTTTGTGGTTGTGATGTTAGCAGGTCCAGAGAACCCCCCTCCGTTCAGACCCTCGGGCCACAGCAGAACAGAGCGGCCCAAACCAGAGCAGCCGTCCGTGGTAGAGCTGCTGCAGGACCTCAGCCTGTCTGGCAGAGAGGAGCTCTTCTTCATGCAGCTACCTGACAGTATGCCGGGCAGAGAGTCTGCGCAGAAGGTCGACCCCTCTTTGGGATCTTCAGCGGAGAAAGCTGCCAGTAAGGAAGGCAAGCCTGAAGACAAGAGGCCTGCACATCTACAAGCACACGTGAGCTGCCTCGGCAACATGTCTGCTTTCGATCATGTGTGGTTGCATCTATTTCATATTTAGCACATAACATCGACTCATGCCGCTGCATTCAGGGACGCCCCCTTTTGTTGTTTGTGTTATTACCGACCCTCTTGGCAAACATGTTCTGGTTTTAAACATTTGCTGCTGATCTATTGGCAGAAATGGAATATAATATATGTATTATAACTATGCTTCCATCAGTGTATACCTGCTGAAACTAAGAATCCTTGTGTTGTTGTTAGTTTAGAATGAGCGCTTCATATCTACATAGAGAGTCCACAGTGTTGCACCTCCATGTTTCTACGGTGGCCCAGAACAGACAAACACTGTCTCTAGAGAGAGACTTTCATCTCTGGTTTAGTTTGTCACATTGAAGGCCGTTGTAGTTGCAGTACTGCTCTGATCGTAGTGTTCTACCTCTTGTTACCTGCTTGTAGAGGGAGGAGTGAGCAGAGACACTCTCAATGCCACCAAATCCTACACCCTGGTAATACAATGGAGGATGGAGATATGTTTTTGGTACTTGACACTAAACTGCATTGTGTGGCTGGATTCCCAGCTATACTCCCTTCACTACACACCTCGTGGAACTAACCAGCTAAACTAACCTAGCCATTCACCTCATTACTGCACCGCCTATCAGCTGCTGGTACGAGCCAGTTAGTAACAAGTTGAGTATCTCTGCCTGTCCTCAGGAGGCTGCGGCGAAGGAGGGCTGTCCTGTGCTCTCACAACTCCCAGAGGGGTTTCTGGGTAAACTGCAGATCAGGAAGTCAGGAAAGGTGGAGCTGAAGCTGGGTCACATCGTCATGGACGTCTCTGAAGGAGCGGCATTCTCCTTCCTGCAGGTGCTGCGAGAGTGTGTGTGTTCTTGGAAAGATCTCGTATGAGATTTTTTTATTGACAGTCCTGTTATCAGACACACAAGAAAAAAATCAACCTGTCTCCAAGAACATATCTTCCCAGTACTGTTGAAATTTGTAAATGATTTCAGTTAAATCATTATTGTTAAAATAATTAGTACACAGGTAGATTTTTCCTTTTATTTTGTAGGAGGACATATAAGTGAGCCTTTTAAGCCTTTATTGTGAAGAGACTGCAGTGAGCTGCTGACTCTGAATACATCACAGCATGTTTCATTAGGATTAACATTTAATCAATAAATATTTTGGTGTGAAAATGCAGTCTGTCTTTTGTTTATTTCTCTTCCATACTGAACACTTAACTGTTGCATCATCAGTCATCATCAGTAGTAAAACAGCTGCTAATACAGAGGCCATCTCTCCTCTCCTGTCTGCAGCAACTGGTGTCGGTGCGTCTGTCTGACGGTCGGACCGGAGACATGATGGTGTTGGGAAACGTCCACCACAAGCTGGTCTTGTCTCCTGACTTCCAGGCTCTACTGAGACAAGCTGCAGCGCAGCAGCAAGGACCCTGATCCCCTCTCACCCCGCAGAGCTCAAAGACTCTTTGTAGGATTCCTGATCTGATGTTTTGTTACCACGCCAACAGATCACTGTGGAGGAAAGGACCGATGGTCCTCTTTAAGGCAGCTATGTACGTTACCCTCAGTAACCTGTTTTATCGTGTTTATGCTTTGATTTCTCTGATGACCGAACACCAGCGAGAGACCCCCCAGCTCCACACCAGTGAGTGGACGTCCTGGGACAGATCAAGGAGGACGATCACATCGACAGCCGACGCCCTCTTTGAACAGAGACAAAGGCCGAAATTCCAGACTTCCGTACAACAAAACCACTGAGGAGTGCATTTGTGACTTACAGAGGCTTTGATAACTCAACTGTCGTACGTGTTAGTGTATCAGTCTGACAGCGAGCTAGCTGTGCTCCTCTATTAATTCCCAGAGACCCGCCTCTCAGCATGTGTGTCATGTTATTTGTTCAATAGACCAAAATGGTGCAAAGTAAATGTACAGTCGTGGACTGATCAACCCGTAGCTGCACTGATGGCACCATCCTGATGTTGGCTCTACCAGGTACCAGGGTTTGGTCACCACGTGGTAGAACAGCGTTCTATTTCGGTCACGGAGGAACCGTCAGAACACAAAGCAAAGCTCTGATTAAAAAACGACTGTGTAATGAAGAGTGCTGTTGCTATTCTAAGCTGGATTTTATATTATGTTTCTGTTGTCCCTTGTCTGTTTTTAACATGCTTTATTTTATATTTTTGTAACCTTGTAACGGTGTTCTATCTTGGCCAGTTCTCCCTCAAAGAGGTTGTAATCTCAAAGAGTGTCTGGTTTAATACAAATTAAAAACAACAACTGATGTACTGCTGGGATTTGTAACCCTTTTGCATTTAGCCAACTTAGATATGGCATCTTCAGTATTACTATTAGATGTTTGTCAGCCTGCATTTTGTTACCTCAACATCATTTCATTTCTCACTTCACCTTGTGAGCTTCTAAACGGTAGATGGACTGTACTTGTATATCTCTTTTCTAGTCTTCTGACCACTCAAAGTGCTGTAACGCTACATGTCGTCATTCACCCATTCACACTGATGACAGGCGCTACCATGCAAGGTGCCACCTGCCCATCAGGACTCTCTGATCCCTCATACCCATTCATGGACCACAGGAACAGCCTGCGGGAGTAATTTGGGGTTAAGTGTCCTGCCAGGGACACATCGACATGGACTAGTGGAGCTGGGATTTGAACCGTCGATCCTGTGATTGAAGGACGACCCTGAACAGCAGCTGTATTTCCAGATGTTGTTGACCTCCAGTGGCTGAAGTTGGCACAGTAAAACATTGATAGATAAGTCTTTATATTAACTACATATCTGATTCCAAACTTCCATCTATTGCTGAAATCTTTTCATTATAGTTTCTGGAAGTCCTTTCAGGTCATCCATTTTTTTTTTTAAACGTCGGTCCAGCTTTGCCGTGGAAGTACATAAGAACCATCTCAGTGACCTCTCAATGGAATCAGATGCAAGACTGTTGATTTGCTGGACTGCTGGTACAGTCGGTCATGTCTGTTCATGGCTCCAGATCCGATCTCCATGCTAGAGGGGACCGTGTCTCTGGAATCACCTACTCGCCATCCTCTCACCCTCAACCACCTCTAGAACTCATTTCTATTTCATTTGTGTGTCTTCTATACTGATATCTCATTATGTTTATATGCTGTACATTGTAATCTTACATCTGTTTTACTGTATCTTATGTGTACAGCACTTTCAAGCATTGTTCTTTAAAGACGTATTCTTACCAGACAGTAAAGGTACTACAGGTGTGCTCAGTGCATGCTGTTGTCACTGACTGTTAATAATGCTGCAACAGAAACTTTCTCCCAGAAGAGGTGAGTGAAGCAAGACTTTCTTTTACTCTTGTGGTATGATATAAATGAATGACGGGATTACCAAAGAGAACAAAAATTGTAACATTTTACTGAAGTCCCAGTATTTAGCATTAATAAGCAGTAAACTAACTTTTACTAAAAGCTTTATAACTTACTATAATGTAGCATAAGCAGATTTAATGAGTCCTAGTGTCTCAATGTACAGTATTTGTCAACAACTATAACTTCTGTAAAAACATTTTTCTATATTGTCAATCATGTACACAAACACATTAACACTGTTTTTGCTTACGACTACATTAGTGCGTTATAAATCAGTTGTTACATGTTTATGCACTGCTTATAAATGATAAAAAGGGGAGTTAGTAAATGACTTCTAAGTCTTTATTCTTTAGTATCTGAAGTGGTGCAGATAATCATTCAAAATTAGCGTTTATTGAACTTCAGCAGAATCATAGCAGTAAAAAGTGGGACATGGAGCCTCTAGAGAATGTGCCGTCTGTGCGTTCTTCTTAAACTTGTGGCTTTTGTGTGTATTTTTAAGTCATCATAAAAGGTCCTTTTGTAGAAAGGTGTATGTACATCTTTATTCAGTAAATACACAGTACAAAGAAAACACGCTGTAGTAAACGCTGGTAGCTCTACATACATTCTACAAGCAAAAGCATCTGTCAATACTGAGAGTACGATCTTCATAATCATCCCAAACACGAAGAGCAGAACGATCGGGGACTTTAGGACCATGAACCGAGCAGAAAGGAAGGTGTGCCAGAGAATGAGTTGGATGAAGGGGCGGATCTATTATCGACCAGAACAGCTTTAACGGAACAAGAAAACATCTCGTATAAAGCTCGACTGGAACGATAAAACTAAATTTGTTTAAAAAAAACAAAATGTCAGTCAGTAATGTTACTTATGCCATAAATGACACAAAGCAGTGTTTCACAGTGTGAGGTTGTGCTGCAGGAACAGCAGCTATGAGACAAATAATTCAGTCAGGTTGCATTGATGAGAGTCTGTAAACACGTGCACGGGGACATGCACTCTGCTCAGCTTAAGGCTGCTGTCATTCTAGTTTTAATATCGTCAACAAATCCTGTGAAAATATGAAAAACAAATAAAAAGTATTCATTGGCCTGTCGGTAGTTTCTGACTTCCCTGCTCTGTGGTACTCGACGTGATAGAGCTCCATTGTTGTTCAGACCTACTTAAACACATGAACACGCTGGTTTATCACTAGAGCACCAGATGTAGAAAGAATCACCAACAAATGAACTATTTCCTCCTGTTTACTAAAAACTACAATGACCAGCTGGCTTAGGAACTTACTGAGCCTGTGGGGGGCTTCTAAAGATGCGTGCCTTCAGTAGAAGCACTGGGCCTGGGAGACACGCACCAACATCGTTGGTTTAGGACTTTTCATGGATTTGTTGACAAGGCAAACTAAGAATAACACCAGACTTCTTTTTGACATTGATACTCTTTATGAAATACCAAAAATAGAAAATGTGTGGATGTTTTTGAGACTGCAACAGTAACCTTTATACTCCTCGGGTACCTTGTGGTTACACTCGGGGCTATGAAACCTTGCAAATTGTATGGTATAAACATCTGAAATCATTACATTTCCTCAGGTTCCTCTGGAACTATCCCGCACTAGATCATCATTTGGACGCCTTGTAACGGTCCTGGTGTCGGGGCTTATCTGATGTAGTTCTTACTGAACAGATGTGATGATTTATTGTGAATTCATCTTCATCTGTCTGAATGCTGTAAAAGGGTTTTTCCTGCTGAACCTAGGAAGCTTCATGACAACTGGGAACTTTGTGGATTTTACATTAGAGGAAAACAACCAAGCAGAGCACCGCCCTGGGTCATCACAACTTCTGTTTCAGTTGTCATGAAAGCTCTTCTTTCCCTTTAGACTCTAGTAGATGAACACGTCTTATGTCTTCTTAGTAGTCCTGGCAGTTTTCACAGAGCTACTCTTTGCTGTCTTCCTGCTTGTTTTGGACTTCCCTGTGGCAGTGGCCTTCTTTACTGCTTTAGCTTTAGCCTTATTTGGCCCCGTCTTGGCCGCCAAACGTTTTGCAGCAGGTTTTTTCTTGGTGGACAGGGTCTGCTCTCGGATCAGGTCTTCTCGTCCGATCTCCATCATGTGGTCCTCCCACGACTTCATCTCATTCTTATAGCGAATTTTGTCGTCCTCTGCCAGCTGCATGTAGACCTGCCGTGTGGAACAAACAGAGGAGATCTGGACACTGTACAACACTGGATGTCTTGTTTCACATGTGGTGGGCTTATACCTAGAACAATAAAGACGTGTAATGATTGTTTGGCCAACCTGTTTCTGATGACCGAACAGATTCTTCCAGTCCTCCAACAGTGACTTCATCTTTGCCTGAATCAACCACATTGGCAGAAACATATCAACGACTGTTGTGCTCAGCAATGGTCCTTTTTTTTTGCAATACAAGCACATAATCATATGTATTCCAGCCGGGGACCTTTGCTGCATGTCCTAGTGTTCTGTCTCCATCAACTATCCAATAAAGGGAGCTGCTAGAGCAGGTTCCTAAAAACTACCGTCAGACAAATACTCATAACAATAAAATCAAACCTCTATGTAAATTGGCAGCCATGATGCATTGATACAGTGAAGAGAATATTACTTTTACATGAAGTAATATTTGACTCTCTTTTAAGTTGATTTCAGTAGAAACAAGTGTTTTTCTCCCCGTAGAGAAAGGTCACTTTAGAATGTCCATGTGTAAAACATTCTGAACAAGAGAAAGTCGGTGAAAACAACAGATTCTGTTCATTTCAGTACAAACTGTAATGCCAGACCAGTCCATGCATCAACATTACTCCCCCTGAATATCTCGTTAAATGTCATGTGATGGAGCTGTGGTTACCGACCTGTGTGGTGGTTCCTCTGGCTTCCACAAAGTGCTCCGACATGAAGATGTTGAAAGGAGAGCGAGGACGCTTGGGCTTCCCCAGGTTGGTCAACTCCTGGATCACACACACGTGCATATGTATTGTTGAACAACAGTAGATGGAATATGGTTTAGTACTCAGATTGTCAGCAAACTCAAACTTCTAGATAGTTTGAATAGCAAGTCTAAGATGTGTTTCTAAGAGCACATAAATGAAAAACAGTCTGCAAGCTCTAGACAACCTCGTCCTTTCCCTGTTCCACATCTACCGTCTCTCTTACCCTCTTTTTGCGGATGGCCTTCCTTTTGGCCATCCTCTGCCTCTTCTCCAGGGCTTGTTGCTGGACCTGTGCTGGGGTCAGCTGGGCCTGGTAGTGCTGGAGGTCCACCTTAAACTGCTCCCTGGCCTGAAGAGAGGCTTCCTGAAAAGGCTACAAGGGTGACAGAGACCAACCAGAACTTTGGTCACAACAACAGACTGACAAAACCCCATATGTGGAGAGACTGTATGAAAACAGAAGATAAATGAGAGATGATTTACCACTTGCAGCCATTGCCTTACTACAATGTCTGCACAGATAAAAACTTGAATAAAAGGAATTCAGTAAATTGTGTTTAACACGTAAAGTAAAATGTACCTGTTTCTGTTCTGGGCTCATGGTTCTCCACTGCTGGGCGATTCTCCTGATGATATCCACTGATTTGATTTCTGAGGGCAACAATTGAAAGATGTTTATTAACAATAGAACTGAAGCATTTGAGTCCTTGAACTCTCAAACTGATCTAGCTCAGCCATGTGCTCTGAAATGACATTTCAATGATTATAATAAGCTTCTTCCACACGGATATCAGAGATGTGCATTAAGCTCTCTGTTGGCAGGCAGCACGGACTCGAGTCATGAAACACACATCCATGTGTGAGTGGTGCCCCATCCCTCACAAGCAATGGTGGCAGGGAGTTCTGGCTTGGCTCGTCTCCATGACATGACTCGGTTTATTTAAAGGCATTCATTTTTAAGGATACCGTTATTCTACAGTATCATTTGTATTATTATTTGTTATTGAATAAAAATACCTACCCACTGAACAAATACTCGAATGTGTGTGTCCAGCCTAGCTTATAGTACTACGAGCTGTTGTGTCAGCGCGGCTTGTTCATGAAATCAATAAGTTAAGCTGCCATCGAAACGTGTTGCAGATATACCTGGGTTGTGTCTGGTTATGACCGGCTGCTGTTGCAGAACATATCTCAGGTAACCATTCAGAGGTCTCTTTGGGGGCCCACTGGCCTGAGAGGTCAGACATCTCACTGGGTTGACGTATGCAGCTGGAAGGACACTGGTACACCTACAGCATGCAGGCACACACACATATATATAAATATGACATAATGTGGAGACAATCCTGGCATCCATTATTTCTAATGGAGAGAACTTTACACAAAACTTAATTCAAGAATCTGGTAACTTAGTGGTGCTTTAATGGTACCAACTCAAGAGTAACACAACACACTACCGTGAACATTTCTACGGCAGAAACGATTGGGCAATTCTTCTATCAGTTGTTTGACAAAAAAAAACTATTAATATAAACTATTTTGATAATGTTCGTTTTTTTCCAAGGAAAAATAATGAAGAAAACAAACTCTAGTTCTAGCTTTTACTGTTACTTGACATTTCAAAGACTACATAATCAATAACACAAAGATATAATCGTCAGATTAAGTGAAAATGTAAATACATTTTAGTTGCAGCTCTAACCATCACTTTTTGCTCATTCATTCATTTAGCATATATCTAACAGACCTTCTGTTTTATTCACGTTAAGTATTGCTTAGTAGTGGACCATCGGTATGTTATGGCTTCAACTTATACCCCAGCATAAAAAAGAAAGAAAGCACTAAAACTGCTGCACCTGATAAAGAAAGGCCTTTTTACAGCTCCAACCTCTACACGTGCATTCCTTTCAGTGTGATGAATCCATTTTGAACCTATAGATATCATCACCCTAAAAGCTCCTCAAACCCAAAGCCCTACCACCATAATAAAAGGGAATTGTTATTTAAATTAACACGTCAAAACGTGTCTGGTTGTTCAACAATACGAGGATAACCGAACCTAGTTGTCTGAGGGTCATAGAGTAGCGTTATTTCGCACGTCCTATATTTAACGCTAACATTAACCTATCCTAATATTAACGTTAGCACATGCTAGGATACCCTTTCCAACCATTTCCGTTTAAGTGAAATCTCATTTCTAATGATAAAAAACGTGCTTACAGTAGGCTATGCGAATTGCAAAGAGGGCAAGCTAATGCTAGCTTGCTAACACAAGTTCACCTAACGTTAGCTAACACAGTGAAGTAACTTAAGGTTAGCTACCTTGCCAGGGTGCTTGTGCTGGAGAAAACACTGAAGGACTTAGCCAACCAGCTAACGCTTGCTGTCACAAGGCTGAACGGAGCCATGTCGGTAGTAATAAACGTTAAAGGACGTTAAACAGAAGAATGCAAGACACACGTATCGTCCCACAAAACCAGTGTGTTATATATTCAAGCATTAGATGTATTTAACAGAAGATGAGCCTCGTCTTCCCCTCCTCCTTGTTGACATGTATGGGCTGCAAAAGGCGCCTTTCGTGTCCCCCGGTGGATTGTGGGAAAAGGTCAAATCACCCAGATGGGCGTGGTTTAGCAGGATGTAGCGCGGATGTTACAAACACAGCTTTTTGTTGTTGGACGTCATGTAGTCCATCTAAATCTCAATACATTTTAGCACTATTTTGTTCAAGTTTTACTGTGCATCCACCCAACAAATCGCTTTAAAAAATATATTTTATATTAAATCTTCTCATTTTGTGTGGTAAGTTGTATATCCCTAAATGTAAAGGAAACACTTGCAGACCATATTCACCAGTCAACCATTAGGAATTTGGTCCTCTATAATACCTGTACTTACCACCACATGAACACTCTCTTTGTCCACAACGAATTGAGACGTTGTGACAATAGAGCAGATACATTCTTTCTTGTTAACTCTGTGGGCAACACGGTGCCATTGTCATGTGTTTGCTGTTGGCTATATTGTTTCCATACATTTCTGTCTGCTTGAGCTTTATTATTGTTACAAAACACAACTCTGTAGTTTAACACTTGCAAAACATCATCCTGTCTCATAATAGCCACTTTATACAGTGAGGACGGGTATCCGCTCAATTGTCTGTAATACGGTATATAATTTAAAGGAGACATATGCTCATCTTTAGGTTCATATTTGTGTTTCAGGGTTTCTTCTCGAACATGTTTACATGCTTTAGAGTTCAAAAATCACTTCCAAGAGTGTCTGTCTGGATATACCTGTATTCTCTATCAGTCTGTAACGCTCTGTTATCGTGCCTGTCTCTCTGAGCCCACCTCCAGGAGAAACACACTCTGCTCTGATAGGTCTTGTGCATCTGCAGACTCACTAGCTGCTTTCCAAATTGCATACTTTTTCTTTTTACTTATAGAGCAGCTGCCCTTACAAAGTCTGAAGCATTGTATGCAGAATGTGTTCAGTTGGGACATTCTACTTTCTCATAAAATAGCATCTTGAACTTTGACCCTCTTTCTTATATCTGCTGCACAGAGGACATTGCCTCATCTCTAATCGATTTTTAACAAATCAGAGACAACATATCCTCCAGAATCTGACATCATTTAAAGTCGACAGGTGACTTGTTGACAACATACTTTGTGCCGGTGTTTTAAGAGCGGAGCAAGCGAGTCAAAGAAAAACTTTAAGTGTTGTACCTTGAGCATAAAGCAAACTTAGACCTTCTTTATAATCAAAAAAGACATAAATGTCTCACTTTCTACAATATGCAACCTTTAATCTGGGAACTCTGATAAGTCTTTGAATACAACCAGGTATGAGATTATTGTTATTATATGGATTAACCCACTGACAATTCACTGAACTGGAAAAACCCCAGGTTTGCTTTGTGTCAGATGTGGTCATTTGATTTAACACAAATTACACAGTAGAGAATATGCACCATGTAAGCAATAATAATAATAGTACTAAGCAGTTATTTTGACACAGGGTCCATCTACAAGACATGGCTTCAAGATGTAATTACCTTAAGGCCCTTTATATTTCTGTTTTTATTGTGCATATAAAACTAATACAAACATGTTCCACACGGGGCCCTCAGTGGCCCTTAGAGGCAGTTGCCCTCTTTGCCTGGTTTTGTTCATGGGAAAAATAGATGCAATATAATTACCAAAAGCAGCAAAAAGACTCCAAAGGCAGCGTGTAAGACGCCAGCACTCATAACACACAGTAATATCATATTCTCACACCCTAATACACAAATACTACTCTACCAACATGTCAGTACAGACTGGCTGTAGACTTATCAAAGTCTCCTAACAGTAAGAGCTTGTGTATTCATTCTTGAGAGATGATTGAATAGGCCATGATATTTATTGTAAATACACAATTTCTGTACTCACTGACATTCAGCTGTATGTGGGTGATACATAGCTTTACAGTGATTGTTCAGCCACATTGTGTGTTGGTAATGCTCACTGCTCTGACGTTTCAGAGCCTGTACTGTCGTGCATGAAAAACAATATTATTCCCTATTTTGAGCAAAGGCTGTGCCTGAATATTGACAACCAGGCAAAGCCCTGACATTTCCAGGCTTAGTGTGAGCAATTTGTGCGAATCTAACGGAAATGTGTTTCTGAATGTGTACTATAAGCCACAACACCAATCATCATGATAAGGGCCTGCTGGTGGTCCCTGATTTATAACCCGAGCTCCAGACCTTGTCAGTCGCTAAAATGTTACATATTCTTGAACTCATTTGGGTTTAATGAAAGCACCCCACCCACACCCACACCCACACCCACACACACACCCACACACACACACACACAGGTAGTATTCTGGCAGAGAGAAACTGGAGGTGTAGGCTACAATTCAATGCTGAGCACATTGCCAGGCTGGTACAGGAATCATCTTTTGGTTGCTGTAATTGAAAATAGTTGCTATTTTCATATTTTGAGTGATTATAATACTATGCCATTATACATCAGCTTAGTAATGAATATCTTGTGAATGGGCCAGCTCTCACAGCCTCCACCTCTTCCTGCGGTTGAGAGCTGCACGCTTGCATTGCTTGGAGCTCCAGTGCTTGTATGCGAGTAAACGCACCGACACACGATGGGGCTTGAATAGGTTTTATTGCTACAGATGGTATTATTAATTCTGCTTATCGGTCTAGTTCTTTATGGATTCCCTTATTGATCCCCGATCAATTTTCTGTGTGTCGGACAATTCGGAACCTGTGTAGCATTCCAGTTTTAAACATGACAGCAAAGTCCAAATCTCACTAATGCAACAAATAATAAAATGTATAGATTTTGGTGTGCATCCCTATTTTTTATGTTCATAAGTGGTCACCCACTATGGCAACCAAAAGGCCAAGTTCTGGTTGCCACTGTGGAGCCCTTTGATCACAACCATATCACATATTAATAGCAATATGTCAACAGAACAAAATCAACATTAAGCTCTGTGATAAAAACTGTACCATTCTTTAATTCAGTACAAAAGGTGCCACACAGGCTTCTGAGTACACAGGAGCAGAACATTTGATTTCCACCATCTCAACAGCAAAGATAGATATAGAGACAGCTGCAGGTCAAACACAAGAACACATTCAACCCTCAGGTTCAGCTTTGATTGGGTTTAGAACGTGATCTTTGTGCCTGTGTAATGCCAACATCACTGCTGTTCTCATGGGAACACAGTACATCATCTCCATGACATTTACATTGTGATAACTCTAATTTAAATGAAATCTTCCAGATGACTTTAATACTATACAATTAATAACAATAATAACAGGAAGAAGAAGACCACCGTAATATGTTACTTGTCATTGATCTCATTTTCAGGGTAACTGCAAAATTACATTGTTTCATTTCAATTTATCTGCTACAAGATGCAAAATAACTAATAAAAAAAAA